CCAAAAAATAATAATAATAATAATAATAAATAAAAAATATACCAAAAACAAAGCAGGACCAAATTAAGTGGCTACCCAATAAGTTGCCATAAAAAAGACACAAGTCTTAGAACAGCCTCAGAGCGACGGCAAGGAATCCTGCATAAAAATTTTCTGAATCAATGGACAAATTCTCTTTTAGTCTTGATTGAACTTATAGCTTATATCACTAGAAATTTTCTCTTATGAGTTTCAATTCTTCGCGTGAGTTCACCACCCCCATACACTGGTTTTTTAATCTGAATTTCACCTACTTCAATCAAATCTTTCCTTCAAAAATGTTGATAACCTCATGCTGACCTAAAATGAGGTTATTTCAAAACTATCGACACATACAGCCACCCTTTTCTAATTCCTCAAAGCCACAGAGAATTGTTTTCAGGCAATCCATAATACATGGCTCTGACTGATTAAAAAGAAACATGCAAGGGCGTGTGAGAATTTAAAGAATAATCCATTCCCACATACCAACATTTTGAAACAGTTTATAAACACTAAGGATGACAATTAGATTGTGGGAAAAAAAATTTCTCATACCTACTCAAACATTAGGCCAGATCAGAGAATGAATAACGATATCATTTCTAATCGCATTAGATACTTTATTCTAGGGAAAATGATATTTTGCAGGACTATAAAGCCCAAGAAAATTATTCGGAAGAGAAAGAGAAAGTAAAAGACTTGAGATCATTCAACTTTTATAGTCAGCTAGCTTAACATGCATTTATGGGCATCGAAATCTAACCTACAACATTACTCCAATAACAATAATTAATCATGATGAGGCAATCACTATTGCAAGCAACAACACGAGGAGTATTCTATTGATTCGTGCAAAGATCAGCCCAACCTCTTGCGCAGATGCAACAACTATGCAGACTACTTGTGGAACCTTTCCTCTGACATACTGAGATAATATCTACTGACACTCAATTTTCACTGGATCCTACTTATATTCCTAATTTTGCTAAAAATAAATTTCATATATTTAATTTTAGGTCAACCCCATACATATGGGATGAAGGTAAGTGATGATAATGAGTTTTAGTCCTACTTATCTTAAACCCTACTGATTCTAGAGTCTCTCCATACTTCTAGTTTAGGAATTATCTCTTCATTAATTCATCATTCAAGTCGTACGATTAGCAAATAGTATACACCATCAGACCTCATCATGTACATCACTTATTGTTAATAACAACATATTGTTGATACCTGGTATAAAGCCTACAATAATTATTATTCACTTTTTTCATTCGCTCTCAATTTTATCATACATATCAGTTAATCATGTAAATATATTTCTTATTTAGAAAACATTAGTTATATCTCTAGTGACCCTATCTAGTTGACCTCCCCAACATAAATCCAAATGAGTAATGCTACAACGAGCGCGCTCTCGTAACAACACTGGCAAGCTCTCTGCTCCAGCAAGTAGATTTAGTGGTCCTAGAGATTCGAAAAAGAAAATCGGCAAAAGCAAACGTCTATTAAAGTTTAGAGTAAAAAATAAAAACAAATAACAATATCAGACCCAAAAAGAAAAAGGTTGTGGAAACATGAGCAGCTCATGTCTAATTTCTGCAAAATGCTTCGCTAGTTCTCCACCCTTTTCTCCAGAAACAGGAAATACCCTCCTCTACAAATTCATTCCCAAATCATGTGATCAATCAATGCATCAAACTTGGCAAGAGGAGATAACCATTGATTTTTCTGGCAATATAAATGTAATTTCATTGAGGTATTAGATTCCATAACTAATCTTTCTCTTATTCATCAGTAGTTCTACTTGTTATCAAACAAATGCTTGAAGGGAGTAATTAAAACGTTTAAATGTGTTTTTGTTTTGCCTTGATCATTGAACATGAAATAGATAAAACTTAAAAGAACAAAAGATTCAGTTAAAACTTAAAAGTCACGCTCTCTTTCTGATTTTGATCGTAACATTTACTGAAATGGCACATTGGGTTGATTGCTCTTCCGGTATATCCTCTCACCGATTTTAGGTGCATACGTCGTCAGATATGATTTCACAGAGAAGGGTTTTAGAGTTTTGAGCAAGTGAGGGAATGGGAGCTGCGGAGAAAAACCTACAGGCTACAGCTTTTTGGGTGTTTTTTTTTTTTTTTTTTTTATTCTCTTCTCATTTTTATATTCTATACTAAATGGCAGAAAACGTAGTTTACTTTTTGGAAATTCTCGTTTTCTGGAATCCCTAAAACACACTTGATCTAATTGCTGTAAAGGAGAGCTCTTCACAACTCTAATGAGTGCACGCCCGCCATAGTATTAGTCAATCCAAATTAATTTCATGACACTGTTATTCCATATCTTAAAGTAGGTGTAGCTGCCCAGCAAAAAGAAAAAGAACATACAAATAAATTTTTTTATAAAAAAAAAAAAAAAAAAAAAAAAAAAAAAAAAGGTGAACCCTTGCAATGCCCCTATGCTTTTTCTGAACACCATCTCAGCCAAACCCTTTCACCGGAACCTTTTTTTGATGATGTAGATTTGTTCAAATGAGAACTCTTCAAGTTGTCTCAAACATTACTGGTGACTTTACTCTCAAATGAATGGGAGGCAAACTGAAAATTAGAATGTGCAAACTAGTTTATTAGAATTTTGGCAAATTCAAGCAAAGGTCAAACTTTGACCCAAGCTTCAAAAGGACGGTCAATCTTAGTTCATTTATATTTTACCTAACACTCTGTCTTTTTTCCCCTCACAAGCCTATCAAGCTTGTTATACAAACTTTCAACCCTCTATTATTATAGATTCTTATAAATTTAACACGAGTAATACAGTGATATTAACTTTACCATATACTCCAAGCTTAACCTTTTTCTCATAAATTATCAACTATTATCCTACCAACAATTACTTCACTACGTTTTATTCGAGTTTCATAAACATATGATACGTGCAAAAAATTTCATGAGACTCAATAAACAAAGTTTGGTATTCTTCAAAGCTATTAGTTCACTAAGAGATCAGCTTGGAGTATATGCTAAAATTTGTCTCATGATCTCATCTAATTGGCGAACAAACTTAAATGTATTTCCTAACAACCCAAGCCCATCATAAGCTGCTCAGTTCATTTACAGTCTTAATCAAGTGTAATAGCACTTCCTAAAGTGTAGCAATAATGAAATACACCCCGAAAATAATATAAAATTTTGATCTCTAGAATGTGTAATTCATATTATTTTGTTTTCTTTTCTGAATAGAGAACGCATATTCTGGTGCATCATAATTAGCAAAAGAAATTGGCAAACCTTTCCTAGTTGGAATAGTAGATCTATGTCATCACTTACAGGATAACGTCTTAAGTGAAAATCATAATATTTTCCCAAGAAACAGGCTTGAGATTATCTGGTTGAATTTGGTCAGAGTGTCAGACTGTCTAAGATATTCAACAAATGAAACTAGCCCATACACACTGCACGTAAGCCAAACATGTGTCATGGTGCTAAGCTGCAATTGTTCTCTTCATGGATTTTATAAAAGAACTCAAAACCAAAAAAAATGAAACTTACAATAGGAACCAGCAAGTAATACATGAAGTCTGTGTAAGTGGGTTATTATTTGACGCATCATACAACAGGAGTTCAAAGTGCCAAGAACAGGGTAACTACAATTTATAAGAGAAGATCTTTCAGTCCATGTGTTGATGAAAGACTCAACAAGCAGATTAAGGACCAAAGGAAAGCGAAAGGATGTACATAAACTTACCATAGAGCAATGTTACGAGTATTGCTGTCAGATGATACATCATCACATTTCATTGTTTTCTCTTTCTTTTGGAGCTCTTGATTGATTTAGCCTCATAATCTGAAACTGATGGCAAATCTGACAACTTAGCCCCTACAGCAGAACTCCACAAAGCCTTTTCTACACCTGACGGTGTGAATGAGTCCCCTTCTGAACTCAATTCCTGAATCCAGTTTCGCATCAAATGCATCAGAATAGAAGCCATAATCCAAGAGAAGTGGGTTACCTTAGATAATATGATAGCCATATGGGTATATAAATATTTGCCAGAGCATAAAATGAAAAGTATTTATTTTAAACTCACCTATGACATTAAAATAATCACCTACCGTAAGATCAACCAGATAATTTAAATAAGGCAAGTAAAGAGGCTAATCTTCCATTCCTCATAAAAGAATGCCTGTGCCAAATGTTAAGTATTTACTTTTGCAAAGAGTATAGGCTTTTAAGAAATGGAACTTTTGGCCAAATATTTCGATTATTGCTTATTTTGCATGAATGTAGATCATTATATTCCAGTTAGTAAAGATAATTTCTCCCTTAGCTTTATTCTCCAAGAAATAATTTTTATTTTAAAAAAAAAAAATACATAGAAAGAGAGAAACATTTCTTAGGGTCATTGTCTCATTGCTCGGTGCAATGGCAAATATTCATGCTACCAAGCATAAGAACAGAGTTTTGGGTCTAAGTGAACACTTCATACAAATAATGTCAAAGATGAGGTTTATTCTCAGTTTGTCTCTTTCAATAACCTTAATTAATGGGAACCACGCTCAGTGATGATCTTTACCGACACTCATTAATATTCATACTAGAGGGCAAAATTATGCACCCATTTAACTTTTGTTCTTACAAGCAACGTTAAAAACCAAACTTTGTGCTGCCAAGCCTTCTTTTGTAGTGAACATAAATTATAGAATATCTAAGAAACAACCTACAATCTGCAGATTAGAACACATTATGGTGTTAAAATTCAGAGCAATGACGGTCAGACACAAAAGCCCCAAAATCTAGCAAGATTACACGACCACGAGCACATGTTTGCTTGTGTATAAGCCAACATGTTGATGCAGGAGTGGGTAGGCGCAATTCGAAACTAGAATTAAAGTAGAGTAAGAATGAGATTGAGAGAGAAAGGGTAGAAGAATAGAGGGAAGAGGAATCAGAAGAGAAGAAGAATTCAAAGGGAGAAGAAATCACGATAATCTCAAATTTCAATATCAATAATAATCATCAAAAGCTAACTTTCCCAAGGCCTGAAACAAAATATAAATAGAAATCAAAGAAAACCCTAATCAACATATTACCATATATAAAACCCTAAATTGCTTAAATATCCCATAATAATAATAAATAAAAAAAAATCCCTAATTCTATCTTCTTTCCCCTGTCTCCAATAATAGGCATGGGCCGTATGGACTTCAAGTTCTCGGGCCAGGCCCGGTTCTTCATCATTCCCTCCCGGTTGAGAAGAACTTTCCTCCGGAGAGTAAATGCATAAGTATATCTCCAAAAAGTATGGGTCAATACTCCGTCTGGTATTTAAAACTGGAAAACCCTTCCATCAAACAAGGTAATAGTCAATATCTCCAAGATGAGGGCCATCACTCTGACAATCAACAATATCCTTTGTCCAAGCCATATAATGCGACTGAAAAGATAGATGAACTAATGCCGCTGCTGAGGAAAATGTAAATCCACCTATAGGAACACATGCCAATAAAATAGGAGGCTCAAAGGTGCCTCGGTTAGGTAACAAATACTCCACATCAAAAATTGAACTAGTACTCATATCCAAAGACCAGTCAAAGAAATACGCATTAGGTCCTGATTTTTGAATGATGTGGCAAAGTTTTATGACAAGGTTGAGGTAGTGCACAAATTATAGCATAATCTCCTTCATTAAATTCATGATCCCTATGATGAGCATGTGCAATGAGTTCATAATTCTTTTTACTTAAGACAATTTCTTGTGGCATATCGGCATAAAAATCATGAATAAGCTGAACGAAGGAATCAACAAACTCAAGTGAATACATACATGGAGGTGAAGGAACATGATCAATGGACTGGCATGGAAATGAATTATAGACAATTTTGAAAAAATAATTGCCAGTAAATTGATTTGTTAAACTTGTATAGGCATATTCCATTATGGGCAATAACAAATTCCAAGTGTCTAGGTGCACATTAGTAAGAAAACTAACCAACTTTCCTAGACCTTGTTTCACAACCTCAATTTTTCTATCATTCAAAGGACAAGATGCAAAAGGAAACTTCAAATTTGTTTCTAAGAATGTCCAACGTGTCTTCCAGAAATTACCATTGTACTTGACATCCTTGTTTGACACAATAGACTCTTTTTCAGACACATCTTGACCAGTAGAAGTTACTGCTTCAGCAAAATCAATGGACAAAAGGACCTTGGATGGTAGAGCTTTTGAAAGACAAGACTTAAGAATTGTGGCACAATTGTTCAAAACTTTTTCTCCTAACTTGTAAGATTGAGGTGAAATAGTTTGATTTCCCCTCTCAACACTAGTTAAAAGAGGACGAAGTAGCTCTACTGATATATGGTCGCTTTCTTCCAGGACAAGAGTCATAATTTTCTCCATGGATGAAAAGACACTATCGGAGTAATAATAACCTATTTCCCTTAAAAAGTGTTCAAACATCTCAACAATTAATTCATTACAATCCAAATCAAGCATAACCAAACATGACTTGACATTTGCAAATGTGTGGACAATTTTGATCCTTTTACCATAAGATGGACTAGATGTATCAGATAAATTTTCAAAAGATGATACAATCATCTGAAATACTTCTACCATTTGATCATCATTGTAGGGAAAATCTGGTGTTGTAATCCTTGTTAACTCACTAAGGCATGAGGCTACTGCCACAATCTGAATGCTGTAAAAATTCTTTAGCAATTAAAGCCTTCATTATTGGAGAGAGTGCAGCTTGCATTGAAGCACATGGGTCCAGATTTACTTTGCAAAGCAAGTGATCAGTTTTGGTAAGCAACCAAAGGAGCTGACTGATTGAGGATGGAGGTTGAAAAAGCCTATTTCCAATTTTCAGAAGTTGCTGTTCCAAATTTATTTTCAGTGTTGTTTTTGTTTCCCTTTCATTTTCACACCAGTTAATTATATTTCCGTGTGATGGGAAGCTTGGTTTGGACTCAACAATCTTAACCTTGCTTGGCTTAGAACAAAGCCACTGGGGACACAAAACGATGTTCTCCTCTGACATCGTTAAGAAGATGTATCAGCTAGGTTTGGACAAAGTTAAAAGAAGGTTGTTGATGGTTATGGTGGAAAGGTATGACATAAGAATGGTAGAGGATAATGCCAACATAGAACTCAAATTGAATTAAGTAAACTAAATTATAAACTAGAACAATGCACAACTAAGAAAATCAGAATGCAATAAAATCGATTATGCCAAAATTCATGCACTGATTGTGTAAGTGTTTAGGTGCAAAAATAAGGTGGAAAACATTTGGCAAGAAAAGCACTAAAAGGAAAATAATAGTAAAAGAAATAAATAATTTGGTCCAATAATCAAATGGGTTCAATTAGGACCTTTTGCAATTTCTAAACCAATCAAAAAGATAAAAGTACTAAAACAATTTTCAAGTGAAGAACGTGTACCTTTTCCAAAGTACTGTGTAGACGTGTCAGAAAAGCGTGTTGTTGCAGCATGTGTCTAACATGCCAATCATTAGTAGGCCAACTGACACAAATGTTAAAAGGAAATAAGTACACCAGTCCTAAGATAATAAATCACAACTAGGAGGTTCCATATCATGGGAGGAGAGCTGGTTGAGAGGAGGATGGTGGTTGGGGTGGGCATTACATATGGTGCAATAAAAGATCAGGCAATTAAGCATGCGATCATGGGTTTGACTTTGAAGGAATCCATCTCAAGTAAACAATTGGAAAATGTCAGTTTTGTCACTTTGTACTGACTCCACCCTTCTCATAACCTCATGGTTACAACACTGAATAATGGACAAGTAGGATGTTAAAAAGGAGATCTAAAGCCTTTAAGATAGGCATTTAATTCTAAATAATTCTAAAAGAACTGTTCTCGAAAATGACTTGGATCAATATATAATGTAATAGTAGGCCTAATTAGTCTCCTCAAGCCTTTGCAAATTTGGCATTCAATTATGGATAGCAATGCTTTAGCTCCTACGGGCTTTCCAATGATCACAAGAAGTAATCGAGCAAAAACATAGACTAATCAGATATATATGCCCCATCACAACACTCTTAGAGTTACAATTATCATCATCCTTGCCTTTATCCCATATAGATGGGGTTGGCCACTCTTGAGTTACCATACAGTTAGATATTCCTCATTGGCAAAAGCTTAATTCTATGTGGCTTCTAAATTCTCATTCCAGACGACATCTATTTTATGATTAGTAGTTGGTTTCACAAAGTAAATCATGCCCTCCAACAGGCCACAAAAAGGTAAGAAATTTGACAGCTATATTCAGAATAAAAATAGTCAAAAAGGAAAATTGTTATAATAACTCATCCTCCTCAACTAGTCAAAGTTGATATTTTAGGAAGTTATAAAGAATTTGCCAAAGGAACCTTGCCCTAACATGTCTAGAAAAATTAGTTTGGACGCCAGGCACTCCCAATATGTTAGGTTTACTATCATCAAATGGAGTTTGAAGGATTTCCAAGAACTGCAGGAGCCTATTGCATTTTACAAAGCATTTAAACATAATGTGTTTGGTTTACGATCATGCTTGGGCTTGTATAGACATCTGTTTTTAGTCATCAAGGGAGTTTAAAGGATTTCTAAGAATTGCTTAAGCCACCATGATCACCAAAATAGTAGAGAAATCAGGTCAATTATTGAATAGCCAAACTGCCTTTACTTAGAAAAGGCAAGACTCAAGAGCATCAAGCACCTAACAATTGTATAACAAAAATTATATGGAATAATGGTGAAAAATGTGAATTTTCAACCAACCATGAACTTTTTGATTAATTTCTGGCTAAATAAGGTTTTCCTGTCGAACTATTAGTTTTTTCTTAAGGAAAATGAAACTTGCATTAACTGAAAGGCATTTTGAAATAAAAAAGGAAACATAAACATATTGAATTTCCCTTAAAACCACTCAACAAATTGAATATTTTGGAACCAAATACAAAGTGAAGGAAATAAGTGAGTTAACAAAAAACATCTAAAAAAGGTGAGAATAGCGTTTGATGTTGAGAACTTCAATGCCAAACAATAGTTCTTTAGGCACCATAACCAAGCATTTCGTATAAATATAATGGTTCAGCAGCTGCCACCATATGGGCTTCACTTAGAAATATTATGCCCAAATTCAGCATAATCACATAGCTTAAAAAAACAACACACAATATGAGATTCTAAAATCAACTGTTTTCTAATCATTACTAGTTCTCGTATAGACAACCTAAGCAGAACCCATTTAACATAGCAGACCAAATTTCTCATAGTAAGTCATAGCCACAAAAACCAGATCACATACAGCCTTCTAAATTACTCACATCCAATCCAATACCTTAGCATGTAAATCATATAAAATTGAATCAAATAAAGGAAAACCCAGCCCAACCAACCTTTGCTTTCGCCTGTAGTTTATCTACAAATACAAGATACTGCTTCAATGTATAGTCTTTTGAATTACCAAGAGCCGCCAACATAGCCTTTTTCACCAACATTGCAAAAAAAACGAAATCAAAATCAATCAGTAGCTAAACAGAACACAAGATCAAAACTTTAAACAATAACTAGAAATTCCACCTCATCAGACATGAAAGGTGCAACATCAGGCGCGTATGCGGCCAGAACGGCGGAGGCCGTGGCCGGACCAACCCCTTTCAAGACCGTAAGCTCGGAAACAGCCTTGGAGATGTCAGGTAGAGACTGAAATGCTTTCTGAGAGGCAGATTCCACTACGGTTTCGTCCAGGGAGGAAACGAAATCCAATAACCTCGGCCTGAAATTCACATATACACTCACTGAGTAATTAATACAAATACATGTGTCTGTGTGTAGAGAGAGAAGAAAAGAAAAAAAAGAACAAGAAGAAGAAGAAGAAGAAGAAGAAGAAGAAAAGACCTCCATTTTCCTCGGGTGAGCTTCCATTGCATGAGTTTGGAGAGGTCGGGTTTGGTGATGTAGGGATTAGGGTTTCGTTGGCGGATGAGAGGAGGGAGTTGGTTTTGATAGAAGTCGTCAAGAGAGAGAAGGTTCGGTTTCTGTTTGTTGAGGGATCGGATGTGAGCGTTGTAAGAGGAGAGAGCCTCTTTCCACAGACTAACATCGGAGCATTTGAATTCCATCTCCGTTTTGCTAGTTCAAGACTTGAAATGGTTGGTGCTTTGGGTGATTAGGGTTGTATCTGTTCACAAGTCGCGGCATTTTTGAATTTTGTTTTCTTCTTTCATTCTTTTTTTTTTTCTTTTTCCCGGCTCCTTTTGGTTGGACTGAGTTTTTTATTAGGGATAATATCACTTACCTCCCTTGAAGTTAGGGCTAATTACATAAAATACCTTTAACGTTTCAAAAATTATATTGAACTCTCTCGAGGTCTCACATAACACTTCCCCCTCCCGATGAAAGTCAATGCCCTTGTTTTATGACACCATCCACTTTTGAACATGACATTCCATTTTTGCCCTTACTATAATTACAAAAATATTTTCATTCTTGAATTCATAATTACTCATATATCTTCATAATCACTTCTTTTTTTTTAATTCAGAATTACACCTCTCTATACAGTATACATAATAGACTATATATATATATATATTTGGTGACCTCTCTGTGCGGTCTGTTATGGCTTCTTTGTAATGACCCGATCATTTCCTTCCTTTCTTTTTTCCTCATAATTTTACGAATGAATTTTTTTCGTTGAAATTTTTTTTCTGAGTTCAGTTTCACATCGCTTAGTGTTGTCTCGAGTGCTCGGAAATGGTTTCTGAGACTTTTTCTTTTGGATTGACAACTTCCTTTGAGGATCGAGTCATTTTCACATTTTTCGTTTTTCGACACTTCACTTTTCGTCTTTTTCCCTGTTTTGTCATTTTCCTTATTTTGTCTTTTCCCCGTTTGTCACTTGGTAGGCATAACCTCACTCCTTGTGTTTAGAGTTGGTATTTGACTTTACGTGTCTTCATCTTCAGTGGTTTTCTCGAAATACGTATATTCACTTTTACAAGAAAGTAATTTGGTTGCTCCCGATATCCATAGGGGCATGAATGCACAGTTTCAGAATCTTTTTCTTTTCTTGGGGTGTTTTTCATAAATATCTTTTGAAGATATTTTATTTCAAGGGTTTTTAAGAAAATATTTTTTGAATATATTTTCATTATGGGGCATTAGTGCAATTAACCCTTTTTAGAGGGGCCATTTTGTAATTAATAAAAGTTATTGTAAAATACTTTGTCTGGAGCCTGGATCCTCATACGGGATTCATTTTCATTTTTCGTCCACTCATAAATTCTTGGAATTTCCTTCTGCTCGTTTTTTTTCAGTTTTAGGTTTCTGCCCCCAGTTACCGCCGAACTTGTTTGGGGCATATCTCTCTCCTCGGGACTCGGTTTTTGACGTCGTTTCTTCTGTTATTCATAGTTTCTCATTTTGAATCTTTTTCGTTCACGGAGTTTTTCCGTTTGAGCGCGTCTACTCAAATTTCACTTTTTTGGGGCCTTTTCGGGGCACTTTTTGAGTTTTCTATAAATAGGGGGACTTAAAATTAAAAAGTCATCTTCACCCCTCTCCATGCACGACCAGAACCTGCTATGGCAGCCCAAGGGGGCTGCCACCCTTCTTCTTTCATTTGAACCTTCTTCCCTTTGTTAAAAAGTCGAAGTGCCTTCGCGTTTTGTGTTTGTCTTGACCATGCGCATCTTTCTCCCTTATTAAAACCCGTTTTTGGCCAATTTTTAAGTTCGGGTTTGAAGTCAAGTTTTGATTTTGATGGGGCTTCTCGTAGGTTCATGTAGATCGTGTTGTCCCCGACAAAACCCTTCGGTATTGTCTGATTCAGAGCACTTTTTTTTCGGTAGGCTTTTGAGATTTTCATCTCAAATTAAGGTAGGGGATGTCTTAGGTTTATATTATTGTTGTATTGATTGTTTTATAAGCATATATAACTTATGAGCATGCCTTGTTCAAGTTTTTAAAATTTATTTTCTTTGTTTAGGATTTAATTCTAATGATGATATATAGTTTAGAATTAAATTGTGGCATGCTAGTAAATTAGGCTTTGGTGAGTTGTGTAACATATATTAAATTTGGAGCATTTGAGTAAGAATTGCAAAACTTATTTAATATTTATCTTTTGTGAAAGATTAATTCACATAGTTATATCAAGCATGAAACCAACTTGTAATGTGATATTAAAGTAGGCCTTTATGAGTTCTTTAACATATATTAAATTGAGGACATTTGGATATGTTTGAAAATCTAGAGAAAAATTAATTAATGAGCTTAATTAAATTTATTTTAAGTGTGTTGGTCACTTAAATTGATATTGGAGGTAATAGGTTGAAAATCCATTGAAATGTAGTCTGTTTAATCACCTTGTGAGCATGTTACTAATTTGATGTAGAATTAGTACTTAAGACCTCTTGAAATGGTAATTGGACTTAGCATGATATAGAATATCATTGACTTGCATAGCTTGTTTAGATATATCTTGTGTAGGTGCATAGCTTGTTAGAATATTATAATTGTTTACCTTGGAAGCTAATTACTAAATTGGGACTTATTTAGTACTTGTGGCTTAGTGTGATAATGTGGTTCAATTGTTGTAAAATATTCTTATTTTGATATATAAATTGCATATTGGAGGCTTGACATGTCATATGGTATCTAGACTTGAATTATAGGACATGGTTTGTATGGATTCAACCTTATTTGTGCATGGAAGATGGTTTTATGCATTAGTGGATTTAGTATAAGTTTGGTCTAACTTATTGATTTTTGTATAAGTTTTGGACTTATTGATTTTGGAAAGCTTGTAAGGACATATTTCACGTGATGGCTAGGGTTTGGCTCTAGTACGGAGATAAGAGTCTTCTAAGTCATAAGTGCGCACTAGTTAGTACCTTGTGGGTCGTAATTACCCGGAATAACTTATGCATGTGCGTACTAGGTAGTACCTTGTGGGTCGTAATTACCCAGAAACACTTGCTTGGTCTAGTGACCACATGTCCTAGTCTTTCTATTTTGATTTCGCATTCAATTTCAAGTTGTTAATCACGGATTACTTGTAACTTGAGAATTGGTGCTTGCCTATGTATTTTGATCTCATTTAGTATACTTGAAACTGTATACTTGAACTTGTATCCTTGTTGGTGTATCTAAACTTTATCTAGTGTATTTACGCTTAGTATGCTTGTCTTGTGTGTGCGGATTTCATTTTTGTATACTTGTGCCCTGTATACTTGTCTTGTACGTATGTGTTTAGCTTAGTATACTTGTGTTTGTATATTTGATTTATGAGTACTCTATACATATATCTTATACTTGTGTATGTATGCTAGATATTGTTTATCCCGTTTAACATGATTTAGTATACTTATGAGCATGTGTACTTGAATGTCGTGTATTATGTTTTAATACGGTTTAGTGTACTTGAGCATGTATACTTGTATGCCGTAGTTCATTTCAATTGCAAGAGTAGCTTAGGATGATCCCTGAGTCTCACTTTGACATAAACGTTAGGTGGCATGAGCCCCTCTACCATGTTTCACCTTAAAGTGATAGAATTGTAAAATGTTAAGTCGATGCATGCTCATTTCGTACGAGTAGCTTTATGTTACTCACCCACGTAGTGGAGACACTTTTCAGGTACCGGGATCAAGATTCGGGATTCACATCATGCTTAGATGATTTGTAGACTTGAAGTTCTCATTTATTGTAAATGTTGGCTTGAAATACCATTTATAACTTTATATGTCAAAATGTGTAAATTTGATTCTATTTTTGTAATGTGTACATAAGTACACTCTTTAAAATGTATTTGACATGTATGAGATGAGGCCATAGGCCAATGACATCTAATTTGTATCCTATGTAACTTTTGACTTCCTAAGATATTATGAAAATATTGAAAAAATGCCAAGTCATTGCTTCACTATGCTTGCATCGGGTGTGGGAATTCCATTTTTATTCTTTCATAGGGTCTTATAAATCATGTTTGAAGTGTGGCCAAGGGCCAAACGGTAATTTGAAACCATTTGTTAATTTTGGTTTTCAAATTTCCCTTTTTTTGTTCATTTTTGCCTTTTTGCCCGTTGGGGGGTCGAATTTTGCATCGGTGGTATTTTTAAGCCATGGACCATTGTAGTACATCTTAATAGGTAAGTTACGTTTGTGTGCATGGTTGTTTTCGGGCAAACCTTCTTCTTTGGTGAAATGAGCCTCCTGTGGACTCATTTTGAAACTTTGTTGCATAATCTGATCTAGGGGCTTTCTAGACTTTTCACATCAGTTTTATTTTCTTCTTTCAATATGGTTGCTTAGAAAATGTGATTTTAGGGGGGTTTTTTCTTTGTGTTTTTCTAGAAAATGTCGTTTTGATACTGAAAATCCATTGCAAAGTTCAGCTTCCAGTTTTACATTTAGCAGCTTTATGACCCTCATAACCAGATTTCATGGAGGGGCATTTTTGGTATTCTACGTTGAGTTTTTTTTTAATTCTCTGGTGTGTCACATAGAAAACTCGATTTCGAGAGGGGTTTCTTTTTCGTGTTTTTCCAGAAAAATTCATTTAATAACCCGTTTTTGCTCTCAGTTGTGGACTGATTCTAAAGCAATTTCATGTAGCAGCTTTTTGGGTCCCTCTTGACCTAGGCTAATCTAGGGGCATTTTAGGTATCTTACAGCGTGTTTTTCTCCGTTCCTTCTGCTTTGTCAGGTAGAAAACGTGATTTTAAGGGGTGTTTCTTCTTCGTGTTTTTCCAGAAAAACTCGTTTAAGGGTCCGTTTTTAGCCTCAGTTCCGAGAAAAAAAATCAAATGTTGCTTGTTGTAAAAACACTATTCCTACTCAGATTTCTTACCCGAAAAATAAGTTGATTTTTTTGAAACTTTGATGCTTCATATCTTCATCATCCGGACTCCAAATTAAGTGATTTTTGAATCTAAGTTTATTAGTTTTTTGTTGGTCTATATAACAGTATGCACGGTTGCATCAAATTATATCTGAAAAGATCATTTTACCCCTTGTAAAGTACCCTTGCCGCATTGATTTCAAACCCAAAAGTTTGATTTTATGAAACTTTGGAGTTTCATATCTTCTTCATCCGGACTCTGAATCAAGTGATTTTTGAGTCCATCTTGATTAGTTTTTCGTTATCCTTCCAGCGGTGTGCTCGGTGGCACCCAAGTCCACAGTTTTCAGAAATGACTATTTTACCCCTGGGGGCTTATTTGTCATATTTTTGGTCTTTTACTTCCGCATCAGTTCTCAATGAGTTCCACGACCTCATGGAAGGTCACT